GGTATAAAGTAAATAAGTCACTGGAATGAAAAGTATAGTATAGGAAATATAGTCAATAATATTATAGTAACTTTTTATGGTGACAGAAAGTAACTACACTTTCCACGGTAAGCATTTAATGTATTCAACTGTCAAATCACTATGATGTATACCTAAAACTAATATGTCAATTATACTTTGATTAAAAAGAAGAAAAAGGGAAAGAAAAAAAAATAGCCCTCCCAAAAGAAATCCAAAATTTTCCATACACACACAGCCCAATTCATTATAAATATGGACTTCAGTTTCTAGATGGCAATGCATTTAGAATATGTATCTAAAACAAATGCTTCCTCAAGAATTTAACCTACACTCCTTTTAACAGATAGAGACTGTTTAGTACAGGCCATGAGATTCTCTTAGCAAGTCATTATAACAATTTGCATTCCATAAAGAAAAGACAAAAGAGGATCAATTAGACATCCCATTGATTCTAAGACAGTTCCCAAGTTCAGAGATGCTAAAATGTAAAAAAAGGGTACATTTTAGAATCAACAAAGCTTGTTATCCCTGTAGTTGATAATTTGGGTTACGATGCCTCTCGCATCTTTTTGCTTAGTCTGATCGGACAAGGGGCAGAACTTTGACATAGCTTGTACTACACATTTTTAAAAAATTTATTATTTAATTTACATCCAAGTTAGTTCGCATATGGTACAACAATGATTTCAGGAGTAGATTCCTTAATGCCCCTTACCCATTTAGACCATCCCTCCCCCATGTCCCCTCCAGCAACCCTCTGTTTGTTCTCTATATTTAAGTCTTTTATGTTTTGTCTCCCTCCCTGTTTTTATATTATTTTTACTTCCCTTCCCTTATGTTCATCTGTTTTGTATCTTAAATTCCTCATATGAGTGAAGTCATGTATTTGTCTTTCTCTGACTAATTTCATTTAGCATAACACCCTCCAGTTCCATCCATCCCTCCAGTAGTTGCAAATGCCAAGATTTCATTCTTTTTGATTGTCGAGTAATACTCCATTTGTACTACACATTTTGAATGATGGCAGAGTCAAGATGCATCAGTGAACAGAGCAATGTCTCCCCAGTTTAAAGCCCTGCATTCACTGCCTGATGGTAAATACTCCTCTTGTTATTCACTGGCCTGTAGTCCGGTGCGGGGTGGGAGATGATGCTCACGGTCAGTCTGTCAGGTGCTCCCAATGTGGTACCTTAACTAATCAGACCCCCAATTACTTCTGGGCTTACGGTATACTGTGATGTTATCTCATGGAGAACATCAGAAGCAATCTTAAGAAGAAATAGCCCTTCTTTCCTCCACCAAAGACTGCCAGCCTATGTGCCTCTGTACCCATATATTCTGCCTTCCTTGGCAAATAAACTGACACCATGCCGACCCATGGGCAAACTCTCCATTTGTGCTCTCTCGCTTGAGCACTGAGGATCTTTGTTCTTATTATTTATTCATTCTTCTGCATCATTAATTACCCCTCTGCTACATCATTCCCATCCGCATATAAACACTGTATATTATACCTCATCTTAAAAGCCTTAAACCCCACATTCCCTTTCAGCTTTATATCAAAACTCCTCAAGAGTATGTATCTAAACACACTGTCCCCATGTTGTCGTATTACATTCTCTCCCCAGCCCATATCCATTGGGAATGTGCCCTCACCACTCTCCTGGAGGCTCCTAGTGTCATCTCCTTCTGTCTTTCTACAACTCAGGGATAATTCTGCTTTCACCTTACTGCACCTTTCAACAGCACCTGACAGGTAGTAATTCTTTCTTTCAACACTCTTCACTCTGCTGCCGGATCACCAACTCCTCCTTTTCCTCCTACCTCGGTGGGCCGCTTCTTTCAAGTCTGTCTCTCTTCTTCCTGACCTCGCTGGGGCTCAAAGCTGCATTCAAATTTTAAACTTTTCTTTTGCCTTTTTATTTTAGTTTTATACTTCTCAGGGACTCCTCTTTTTCTGTCTGTGCTAACAGAATCCTAGCGCTTGGTCTTGAAATTGCTGGCCTTTTTAACTGCTAGCTAAAAAAAACCACAACACATCAGGATAAGGAGAATCCACCTTATTCACCCGTCCAGTATGGAGTTATATGAAAATACATCTGAGTGTGTATATATATATATATATATATATATACACACACACATATATATATATATATAAAATGCTATTCTACCTTGTGATGATAAAACTGTCCTCACAAGCATTATCTAAACATAGGAATCTTAAAGTACCCACGCTAGAGATTGGAAAATAGAATGATTTAATTTTGAAAAGCTGCAACTCTGATTGGCTATTTAACAATTTGTTGCTCAAGTAATAATATTTAAATTGACATCTGTTTTCTGAAAGGAATAAATATAGTACTTGTGAGATTTCTTGTAAAGCCAGAAGAATTTCAGAATTTTCTTTTCTTCCCATTGTGTATAAGAGTATTATAAACCCCATGACCCAGTTAGATTCCTTATTTAAGTTAGTAGTTGAGAGTCATGCTCTGTCTTACTTGAGTTGATACTCTCTTTGCTCACTCTCTAGTAATCTTATTCCCCCTCAAGGTTTTAAATAAATATCACCTACCAACTGGCAATTCCCATGTTTATATCTCTGACCCCAATCTCAAGCCAGCCCTTCAGATGTGCAACTCTTTGGCTTTTCCACTTGGATGTCTTGTTGGTGCCTCAGATTTAGCATGGCCAAAACAGAGCTCCTGATTACCCCATTCCTCCCTTAGTCTTCCCCATCTCGATATATGGTATCACTAGCCACTCAGTTATTCAAATAAAAAATCTAGGATCATCTTTTTGTCTTAAATGAAGAAACGAGGAATTTGTGAAAGAAAATGTACAACCATTTACATGTAAATGTAAAACATTTAAAGTAACACTAATGTAAAATTAAAAAGATTAAAAATTTGGAATTAATGCCAAACTTACATCAACTTGCAAAATTATAAATAGTTCAAAGAATGTCCGTATACTGTTTTCCCAGATTTGTTTAGTGACAACCTTTTATGCCACATGTATTATAATTTGCACTGTTTCTGAACATGTGTATGTGTGGAATATATACAATGTTTTCTAACTGAACCTTTCAAGTTAAGATATATACACGATTGCTCTTTACCCCTAAATGCTTCAATGTTCATTTCCTACAAGTGGTGATTTTTCTCTTACATAACTGTAACACGGTTATCAAGTTAATAAATTCAATTTGATTTACCCCTAAGTGCTTCAATGTTCATTTCCTACAAGTGGTGATTTTTCTCTTACATAACTGTAACACGGTTATCAAGTTAAATTCAATTTGATATACCCCTTAATCTACTATTTATATTCTAGCTGAAAACTGACACAATAATGTCCTTTATAACATTTCCCCTTTCACAATAGGGTACAAGGGTCAGGTATTGGATTGAATGGTATCTACAAAGACCGACCTTTGTAGCACTGTATAAACCACAGTCAGTATTTTGATATATACAAACACTTTGCTTTAAAATTGTTTCATCATAGAGTGTGAATTAATTTACACAGGAAGCGATGACCTAATGCTGTGCTATCCAAGAAGGTATGGCTACTGAGCACTTGAAAAGTGGCTAGTCCAAACTGACTTGTGAAAGTGTAAAATACACACCAGACTTTGAAAACTCACTACCAAAAAGGAATGCAAAATATCTTAATAACTTTTAAGAATTACATGTTGGAATTATAACACAGGATATATTGGATTAAATGTTATTAGAATTCACCTTTAAAAAATGTGGCTACTAAAAAATTTTAAATTACAGTACAATTGTGGCTCCCATTACATTTTTATTGGACAGCTCTAATTTTAGACCTGAAATCAGAAAATTTGACCTCACCTGGATATGTGATTTTCCTCCTTGTATGCAAAAAACGTTTTTCTTTTTAACATATGTTCCTTGAGTTTCTGTCTTCTTTGTTCTAAATAACAAAAAGGCGACAAGCCAACATTGGTTACAACGATAACATCAAATATTCACTAAATGCAGATCTTCAAAAAATGTTCTACTAGAGATCACATCTTGTATACAACAGAAAATTTCTCAATTCAGAAATAATCCCATTTCTAAGAAACTGTTACCGTAAATGGTGCCCACAACTACTGCACAAGAATCACCTTTTCCTCTGTCTTTAAGTGAAAAATCTGGAGAAAATGATTTTCAATACACGGTTACTGAAAGCCAAGCTTTAAGAAACTAAATAGCAGATAAGAGACACCAGACTCTAAGCTCTAATTTACCAGTACTGGGTTGGGTGAGAGTTTCTTTCCTCTACTTTCCCATGTGGAGGACAAAGAATTAACATCATTTCTGAAGACCCAGCCAACCCTGGATTTACACAAAGTTGATTGATGTCTCTAATTTGAAGCATCAGATGAGGCAGCCCCACCTCTCCAAATACTCGCGCTCAGGAAGAGGGAGAGGCCTGCGCAAGCGCAGTGGGTTCTCGGTCCGGGCGCGGCCCCGCCCCCGCCGGTCCCGCGTCTCGAACGCAGGGGCCGGCTGGAGTGTCACGCACGCTCCCTCACTAAACGGACGTCTTCACTGCGGGCCCATCCTCGCCGCCAGTGGGTCACGCCCGGCCAGTAACGACCTCACGGGAGGCGCTTAGCTCGCACAGTGACACCACGGACCGGGAACCGCTCTGGTTTGTCCATTTCGAAAATGCCGAGGATGCGGCTGCGAGAGGCCGAGCGATCTGTCCAGGCTTCTCACACAACTGGTCAAGACTGAAGCCGGGGGACCCGAGGCCTCGGCCGCTGAGTCCGAGCCACCCCCTCCCCCACGGTCGTCCGCGTCCCCACCCTCTCGGACAAACCCGGGCTCCTGCGGGTCGCGCCGCTCCCGCCACCGCGGCCCTCACCTCTGAACTCGGGCTGGGCCCGCTGGCTCGGGGGCAGTTGTAGCTCCCGGGGCACTGCTGGGGTGCTCATGGCTGCTGCGGGCGGAGGACGCGTCTCGGCCCTGACAGTCTCGCACTGCTCAAGCCAAGGCAGCTGCAAACTGAGCACGCCGCCTGCCCCGCTGCAGGAGGCGCGGCGTGAATTGAATGAACCAATGGGCGCAGGGGGCGGAGCCTGGGCCGCCGTTGCTGGGGCGGGTCTTGCCTCAGCTGGGTTCAGTTAGAGCTGCCCAGCTGAGTCCCCGGGCTGGCAAACCTGATCAGCTGTTTCCGTGTTTGACTTGCGACCTGGGGGGGTGGGCCTGCAAAGTCCTTGCTGTGTGGCAGATGGGACTTGTCTTTGGACGCCCATAGTGCATGGAGGAAGGCAGACTAGAAAATTGTCTATAGGCTGCGCTTATTAAACCAGGGCGTGTTTGCTGAGGAGGCTGTAAGCACCTACTGCTGTACAAAAGCATGTGTATTTCCCTTTCCCAAACATTACTTCGTTGCCATAGGACGACTGGGAAGTGGGATTGTAGGACCGCTGACAACATGGACTCCTCTGGCAGTCCATCCTGTTAATGCTCCTGCAATGACTTCCCTCCGGATCCGTGTTCCAGGACCCCTGAAGGTTCATGTATGCCCTGACCACAATGCAGGATGGCTTGTTCTGATCGTCACGAAAGTGGCGCACAGAAGGAGACACTTTAGCTAAGTAGTAGAGCTGACAGGCCCACAGAAGGTGCCACTCTAAGTAACTGTACCAGCCGGGTTTTAAGCACGGAGACAGAGACTGGAGGATACAATTTTTGTATCCCTGGCGCGGGTCTGAGAGGCTCCCGAGCTGGCTCTCAACTGCCAGTTCTTGCCGTCTTTTTCTGCTTTTTTTTCTGAAAGCATCATATGGTAGCATCTTGCTAATGAAGTTTGGGATGTTATATTCTGTTGCTGCTTTTTCTTGATGAAATGTTAAGTGTAACATTGTGTAACTTTGCCTGCACTTGAGGCCAGTTCTGGAAGAACTAACAGCCAAACAGCACGCATCACCATCCCTCAGACATTACTGCTGTTTGTATATTACTGTTAATATTGTCAATTATGTACTAAAGTTTCATGGGACAGGCTGGGTAGCCAGGGATTAAGTGACAGAGAACAGTTTAACAAAATACAACAGTAAAAAGAGCGACTCAAAAACCTTTAAACCATTATGCTAAGTGAAAACCAGCTGCAAAAGGTCACATATATGGTATGATTCCATATGAAATATCCATAATAGGTAAATTCATAGAGAAATGAGACAGATTGGTGGTTGCCAGGGGTTAGGGGTAGGGGGGAATAGGGAGAGATCACTGAGCTGTTCCCTTTGAAATGGTAGTTTTATGTTATGTAAACTAAAGTGTGTGTGTATGTGTGTGGGGCATGGTTAAAAATAGTGACCCAAACAAAACCCTGAAGAGCTCAAGAGGCTGAGATGGCATGTTGGAAACCCTGCAAAACTGCTAGGTTTTCCAACATGGCACTTTCCCCACAGTCTCCAGACTTACCCACTCCAAGAGTGGTATCTCTTTAAAGACACTTTTCTAAAAATATCATCATCCTACAATAGCTGGGGGAAAGGCAGACCATTCTCTAAAAAGATCCAAGAGAAGAAGTCATTTCAGAACAATTTTTCAACAACACAGCTGACCATTTAACTGTAGCCACCTGGAGTATCTCTGACCACCCTCCTGTGAAACAAGGAGAGCCCCTGTGGGAGAACAGGATAGGACCATCCAAAGGATAGAAGGAAGACAAAGGCAGGGCTAGGACACAAAGTCCAAGGAGGAAGGTGGCTAAAGAAAGAGGTAATAGTCCAGCGTTGGGCACTGATGAGGTCTAGTAGGATTGAGACTGAAAGGAACCATTGGATTCAGAAGCTAGGAAGTTCTGGCAAAAGCGTTCTGCAGACAAGTACAAAATATTGCTGAGAGAAATTAAAGAAACCCTAAATAAATGGAGACAGATAAGATGTTTTCGCATCACAAGACCCTATGTTGCTGAGATATCCATTCTCTCCAAGTTGATCTATCCAATCCCATCCCAATAAAAACCCTAGAAGATTTTTCTATAGAAATCGACAGATTGTGAAAGTTAAATGGAAATGCAAAGGATCTAGAGAGGCAAACCAATTTTGAAACAGAACAAAGTCGGAGGACTAACACTACCTGATTTCAAAATGTATTATAAAGCCACAGTAACCAAGACGGTGTAGCTGGCATTGGTGTAAAGACAAAGAAATCAATGGAATTCAATAGAGATGCCAGAGATATACTTAGACCTCTATGGTCACTTGATTTTCTGCAGTTTCCAAGACAACTCAATGGAAGAGAAGGATAATCTTTCCAACTAATACAGGTAGGTACAGGGACAACTGGATATCCACAGAGAAAGTGTCAACCATGATCCTTAACGCACCTCTTGTACAAACTGTGGGGGGCCGGGCCCCGGTGCCAGGCTGAGACCGGGTCGAGCAACGTTCCCTGTTGACTCAAGCCAACCTGGTGGTTCCCCCTCCCATTCATGTGGGAGGCCGGCCCCGGCGCCAGGCTGAGACCGGGTCGAGCAACGTTCCCTGTTGACTCAAGCCAACCCAGTGGTTCCCCCTCCCATTCCCCCACTTTCAAGGGCATACAAAAGCCTTGTCAAGGCTGAGAGAGTTAATTCCTGACGCCTGTGGTCTGCAGGTGTTGGCAGTAATGCTACCTCCCTTTTT